TCCTTTCTTCTGCTTCTTTTCTCTTCCCTTCTCTTCTTTCCCTTCTTTGCTATTGTTGCTCAACTACAATATTTGTAGCAGTGTTTGTAAAGCAACAAACCACTGTTCAAGATATGGTGGCACCGTGGCAGCAATAATTACTTATGATATAAAATTCTAACTTTTGCTTGTTTTCGTTTCTGCTTCTTTTCTTTTCGCTCATATTTTCTTCACTTATTAGTCTCCTCTTCTTTGCTATGTTTCTTCGCTTCCTCTCCTTATTTGATTCTTTGTTATGTACTTGTGCTGCTTCATCTTCTCTACTTCCTTTTCCTTTCATCCTTTTGTTATCTTCTTAGCTTCATTTTCTCATGTTGACTTACTATTTCTTTCTCTAGCTTTCAAGTTTCAACATTTGTTCTCTAGTGAGTCGTATCTGGAAAACTGGTTGAGAAACAAGGTTACAGGAGTGTAACTCTTTAGACACCATTGCAGATGAAAGATTGCAACATTTAAAAAAAAAGTTGCCTATACAAATAATCATTATGTAATGAATGATGTGGTGCAATTAATTCACTTCATACTAGTGTCAAGACCATCATTAAGTTCAAAACCATAAGAAAAATGTGTGGTTGCAGTTGTGAGTGCACGACCCAATGGAGGCATTCAAGTATTTTGTGCCATACTTTGCACCTTGTGTCTTGACAACATCATCTACTCATTAAATTCAGTAAGCTACTTTAAGAAGATGTCAAAATCTACAAACTTAATTATATCAAAACAGCCACTACGTCTAATATACTGCAGCGTTTCTTGATGTATGTCTGTTAGGAAGTACAAGAGTGGCATATCCCAAATAGATAAGGTGTTACAGGAACCCTAGAAGGATCAACATTGAAGAAGATAAATTGACTGCTTAAGAATTTATGCTAACCTCTATGCAAGATGCAGCAGCTTCTCTAACACTATAGTTTGGGTCATTTACTAGTTGCAAAACCTGCAAACAAGAGCAAGGAATTATTGCAGCACGTGCCTGAGACACATATACTTTAGGGAACAGCACGGGATACACTTACGGGAGGAAGAAGGACCCTTTGAAGGGTGAGCTCAGTAGAAGCAAAAAGGCCAACTGCTGTTGCAACTGTCCTTGCAAACTCTTCGCGTACTCTCCAACTTTTGTGAGCCCAGGCATAACTTCCAGCTCTCTCCACAATGATAGTTGGTGAAGAAACCTAATGGCATGCAAATACTTTAGCTGCATGGTATAGTATCTTTCTAATTAAGCACTCGGAAACAAGAGGTGGATCACCTTAAATGCTACACTAAGACAAGGACCCTCAAGCTAATACCACACAACATCAATTGCCAGGAATCCATGATAGAGCAAAATGAATAAAGAACATCAACCATTGTGACCAATCTATGACCTATATTCTTCTGTATTTAAGTTTTAATTCATTATATATTGAGAAAAGTAATTTTTTTCCTCAAGTTTCCGCAAATAAAAGTAAATTATAATCAAATGAAGGTTCATACCATTCAAAGTACATAATTCAGGGCATTAGATGTAAACTAAATCTCTATTAATTTACTAATGACTGTTGAACGTTTATAATTAGAATGTCGGACAATTAAAAAGCATCATGTAAAAAATGAGTGAAGCAAGAAATGAAAATGTTACGATGCCCTTGTGGATATAAACTAAAAGATAAAATAAGAAATAAGAGCACTCATAAGAGATTACAGTTTGTCCCTATTGAGGGTAAATGAGAGTGAATCAATTAGGATGGTTCGGTCATGTACAGCACACACGTGTATTAAATGAACCGATAAGGACAAGTGATAAAATGTATAGTTAACAAGGCAAAGAAGACTAGAAGTAGAACTGAATAAACTTGATTGGAAGCAATTAATATGGATATGATGATAGTTAATTAGTTAGCATTACAGTTCATTTAGTTCCACATTGACTAAATAAGGTCAATTTGAGGGTTCATAAGAGATTTAGGTTCCCTCCCTCTAACAGCTAGTTTTCAGGGGATGAGGATCAGAACTAACCCACCTTCCCGGCTGCAAGTGAGCGGCGCACGTGGTGACACCGATTTCGCAGTGTTCACCCCGCACTAATGCAAAGCCAGCCCGCATGGGTGCTCGGACCACGGAAGCGTTGCGGTATATTAGCGTCCGTTTTGACTCACATTGACAAATAAATGGGGAGTTAATTGTGGGTGAGTTCTACTAGCTTTTTGGGGATTCATGTATTATAACTCTAGCTAAAAGATCACAACTTGCGAATCCAAACCAAACCCAGCAAATCAAGATCATGAGAGCTAGAACTTTAAGGTTGTTCCCAAAAAAAATTCAAACCTCCATCAACGACGTAACCAGAACTGCCTAGGCCGCATCCCTAACCGGCTGCTTTCCCATTCCCCCGAAACCTTCGACCACCGCCGAGCACCAATCCATATGAAAGTGAAAGCTTTCAAAGATGCTCGCCGGAGAGCACCGCTAAGCAGGAACGAAAAGCCTCGCAGCGGCGCCCGTGGCATAAACCCTAAAGTTGTTTGTCTTTCGAGCAGATTCACTGCGTGCAGAGGTCGACGAGTGATGATCACTTCCGACGAAGTTTTAGGGTTTTTGGTCTCGGAGGACTCGAGGTGCTGGGTGGAGGCGCTCCGATGCGCCTCGGGGCCATGCACCGCCTCCCTTTCAGTGTCCTTCGATCGCCGCATTTCCGAGCGGCTTTCCTCCATTTCTAGCGGTTAGGTTTCAGATCGACGAGGAATCGGGTGTGAATTTGCGAGAATTTTTAGAGACATTTCTTTGGGGGTGGCCCGGGCGGAAAATTGAGTTGGATGTAGCGAGAGAGGTGAGCACCAGAGGAAGGGGATAGCTGCGGCGTGTCTGGAATTTGGTGGAGTGTTTGAGTCCGCTGGGGGGGGGAATTTTGAGTGCGGGAACATAAAAAATAAAAAAAAAGAGATAAAGTTGCCACTGGCTTATTGACCGATATTTACGGGGCGCCAACGTTGTTGGGGGGCGGGGGGGGGGGGTTTGCATCGGATTCGGAGAAGACATTCACAAGCTTTAACATTTTTACTTCTTTATTAGTCCCTTTGAATATTTTCAAAATATCGGCTAGGATCTTTCAGATACTATTAAGTTTTTAAATACTAGGTTTTACACACGTTCAATACAATACAAGTGGTTAAATATCATGATTAAGTATTTTTATTTATTACTCGGCTCTACTTTAACGGTTGTTGTTCAATTATGTCTCTAAACGTTAGCAATGTGATTATTTATTTTCTTTGATGTTTATTTAAATGAGCTACACCTAATTTAAATTTGGAAAAATTGCTTAGAGGAACCAAAAAAAATTGGCTCAATCATCCTCCTCCCCAGCCCCAAAACTCTAACCC